TTTATTATAAAGATGATATACAGAGAAGTTATAGCTACATGAGTCAGGTAAAGAATACATTTCTTTTTGGACAATGTCACCCCTTCCTTCTCTCCCCTCTCTGGCATTCTTTGCTCCTTCCTAGACACAGTGTGCAGTCTTGCCCACACTAGGGCCTGGCCCAGGCCCAGAGCATCCTCAGGCAAGATCTTGTGGGTTAGGTTGTGTCAAGGGCTGTTCTCTGGCCTAGTACTAGGAGAGAAGGTTCCCCTGTGGTGTTACAAGGGCTGTGGCAGGTGACCAGTTTTCCAGAGTCTCCTGGTCACTGTTTTTTTTTTTTTTTTAATAGTAGGTGGGGGTTGGCATGAGGGGCGGGGTTCAGAGGAGGGGCACAGGTCTGATCACGCTCTGCCAGGGGCTGCAGACCCCCTAGGGCACCAGTTGTAAGCTGTAGACAAAAAGCCTGGGACAAAAGGCCTGTGGGAGCCTTGGTGAATAGATTAATGAGATCTCCGTGCAGAGGCTCCACAATGGGATTCTCCACTCCAGCCCCTTTGTCCCAGGCTGAGATAATGGAACCAGAGGAGGCTTGCCCAGAAGGGGGCATCCGCCCCTGCTCCACACAGGCGTGGAGCTGCCTTGTCCAGCTGCCCCTCCTCTACCCTACCCCCTAGCTGCCTTTTGGCTCAGTCTTTTGCCTCCCCCCGTGGGTAACAGAGCCCACAATTAGAATTTCTGTAAGATCTGAAAGGGATCTTGGGATTGGAGGGACATACTGACACTGTAGTTGGGATCCCATTCCCTGTGTTAAAAAAAAATCTATCTATCCATCCATCCATCCATTTATAATCTATCAATCATCTATCTATATTGCTAGTCCTGGTGCTTGAACTCAGGGGCTGGGTGTTGTTCTTGAGCCTTTTTGCTCAAGGCTAGAGCTCTATCACTTGAGCCATAGCTTCACTTCTGGCCTTTTTGGCTTCCAACCACAATCCTCAGATCTCAACCTCTTGAGTAGCTAGGATTACAGGTGTGAGCCACCAAGCACCCAGCTTATGATGTTTTTTAGGAAACCCTTGAGGGGTTCCATGAAGAGCAGTTTGAAGTCTGGTACCCTGGGAAATCAGCTGTGTCCAATTGAGGGAGGAAGGAGGTAGAGCTTAAGGAGGTTGGGTGTGTTGCCCATTCCCAAAGTGACAGCCTAGTGTGGGTTTCAGAATGCCAGGGAGGGGTGGAGGCACACAGCATCACGACCTGTGTAGGCCTGATGCACCTGGGGAGGGAGGGGCGTGAGTGAACTATGGAGGAGGTTCCTCCTTGGAGATCCTTCCTGCAGGAGGTGGAGCTTGAGGGGGGGGGTAGCACTCTCCATCCAGGCTGTCAGAAAAGACCTGAGAGTGCTCTACTGTGTGGACACAGGAACACACCAGGCAGACTCCCACAAGGATGCATAGGAAGGCCACTTTTGAAATGGGAAGAATTGCACTTGCTCTAGGAGGAGCCACTATTTGGCAGGGAGGAGGGATAATTGATTAGACTAGGTCCTGGCCTGGGCCAGATGGAGTCAAGGGCTGAGTAGGTAAACCACAGGCCTTCTGTTCTACTTGGTGACTGTAGATGTAGATAAATAAAGGCTTCATTGTTTATTCCCCTAGCTAAAATGAAAACATGATCTAGAGTGAAGCATGTAAGACACAGAGCGATAGTATGGCTGGTGTCATGAGATTCCCTTTCTCAGATGGGGCCGTGTGCTGGAGAAATGAAGGAGTGAGTCTGAGGCTAGAAGGATGGAGGGTTTACTAGACCTGGAAGAGTGAGAAATCAAGTAGACCAAACAGGCTAGAGTGGAATATTTAGATCACAGGATCTGCACCTTTCACAGGGGCTGAAAATACAATTAGAAAGTCAGAACAGACACAGCAGTGAGGAGCAGCAGCAGCAGTGGGTCTGGCAGGGCAGGGGAGAGAAGGAAAGGTGTTTGGACAGGTCCAGAGCCAGGGTCTGTTTTCATTGTATCTTCTGAAAGAGGGCTCCTGTCTTCCCCAGCTTGGTTAGTGTAATATATGCAAGGTAAATGCTATCATCCAGGTTGAGTCTATTTTCTCCATATTTACAGAGGAGCCAAGGTCCAGATAATAGTAAACAGAAAAGCCAACAACCCCAAATCCAACCCAACCCAGCCCTACCAGGTTTGGGTTGGATGTAAGATATATTCCTTGTGTTGGTCTAACTGACATTACTTAGCATGACCCTGCAGCCATGTCTCGTGTAACTTCTGACAGCCTTTGATACCAGGTAACGCCTCTGATCTTTAGCAACTTCCCTCTCAGCAAAAGCCAGTGAGGACTGGGAAGCTTCACCAGCATGTACCCCCAGCTGTTGTGCCTTTGGTGGCTGTGTCGCGTCTTATATAGTAGGGAAGCAAAATGGCCTGGCTTGCCTTTCTTTTGGGGCATTGAGACCTATGGCTCACACTTGCTCTTTGGGTGGTGGGGATGACAGTGTTTGTTTGTTTCTTTCTTTTTGCCAGTCGTGGGGCTTGAACTCAGGGCCTGGGAACTGTTCCTGTTCTTCTCTTGCTCAAGGCTAGCACTCTATCACTTGAGCCACAGCACCACTTCTGGCTTTTTCTGTTTATGTGATACTGAGGAATTGAACCAGGATTTCATGCATGCTAGACAAGCACTCTACTATTAAACCATCTTCCCAGCCCAGAGTTGTTTTATTTTCAAACACTGTCTTATGTAATTGTTGTCAGGTTATAGCCACAGGAAATAGTGTGAATTAATAGAAGTGCGCCTGCTGACAACCAGTTACCTGTAAGTAGGGCCAGCTGCAGAACCTGAAACTTGATTCCTTTCAGCCTCTTCTCCTATCCTGCTGCTTTTCACATATACTCACCTCCAAGGCTCTGAGATACAGAGTTGCTTGATGCTGTCTACAGGCTGGGTGTGGCCCGGGAGCTTAGCACTAGCAGTCCTACTCCTAAGGAGCAGGATTCACACCATACACAGGGTAGATCTGTAGATAATGATAATTTTCCAGAGGGTGGCAGTAAAGAGCTCCAAGGAAGGGACTGGAGCATGTGACCTATCATAGCCCTGGCTTAAAAAAATTTTTTTTGGAGGGGTTCTGTTACCTAGGCTAGTCTTGGGCTCAGCCTTCTGAGTACTGGGACTACAGATATGAACTATGATGCTCAGGTAGCTCTGACTTTCTAATTGTATTTTCAGCCCCTGTGAAAGGTGCAGATCCTGTGATCTAAATATTCCACTCTAGCCTGTTTGGTCTACTGGATTTCTCACTCTTCCAGGTCTAGTAAAGACGCCATCCCCTCGAGGAGGCCTTTTCAGTGAGATGTGGCATGCTGACCCAAATCACTCATTTTTCACCTTAACCCCATGCCTAGACAAAGCACTTACGATTTGTTCAACAGAAATTTGCTTAAGAGAAGGCTGGTTGTTGCCTGTAATCCTAGCTACTCTGGAAGCTGAGATCTGAGGACCATGTTTTGAAGTCAGCCTAGGCAGAAAAGGGTCCTGTCCTCAATTAACTAATTAGAAGCCAGAAGTGGCGCTGTGGTCAAGTGGTAGAGTGCCAGCCCTGGGCAATAAAGCTAAGGGACTGGGCCCAGGCTCTGAATTCAAGCCCCCCGGTATAGGTGCATGCACACACATAAATTTACTAAAGAATGATTGGTAGTATAGCTCTGAGTCCTTGCCTAACATGCAAGAGGCACAGCACTATAAAACAAAAACTCATACACAAAACCAAAACCAAAAAACCCACCAAAATCTGAAGACAGTAGCTCATCAGAAGCTTAGGTCTGAGAAATACTGATCATAAACTGTTTTTGGGAATGCTATGGCTCACTTCGTCTCAGCCATATTATCCCGAGCCCAGGCTGGCTCACTGGACTGTACTCCTTTCACCAGTGTGTGGATGGTTACTAAAAGACAGTAAACAGCCTTGGGACTTGTCTGCAGTGTTTATGATACAGATGTCAGGCGAGACATTATTACATCTCATAAATCCTTTTCTGAGGCCCACAAAAAAGTTTATGACCTCTGTGCCAGGAACATTTTTGCTAATTTCAAGTAGTGCTGTTTTATATATTGTGTGTGTGGCCGATAATATCGCCATCTTTATTTGGTGACTGAGAAGCTCAGGGACAAATCTGTACCTTACTCTATTTTCAGTGCTGGGGATGGAACCCAGGGCCTTGAGCATGTTGCTTAGGTAATCACTATACTACTACACCGCTGGTCCTGAGATCCACTTTCTATGAAGACTTTTCCTCTTGTCTCCAGAGTGTGTCTGTCCACTCCAAACAATGCTTTTACTTTGTGGAAAAGACATAATTTTGGGGATGAGGCAGATACAGGAGAACCTGTCAGGGCCCGCAGCCATTCCATGTAATGTAGTCTAGAGTACAATGGCTCTGACTTTCTCAGGCCATAAGAAACCAAGTGGCAAGGAAATGAGTGCTGTTTGGGTCAGCATGTGTGGATTCCCAGGTGGATGAGGTGCTGCCACACTGGCAGGCATCTCTGATCTGGGGGAGGAGATGAAGTTAGATGCGGGGCAGGCTGAGAGCAAAGCATCGAGGGATGTCCAATTCCAGGCCGGTAGGCTAGGAGCCCGTGTAGGCCTTACCCTGCAAGGCCAAGTGCATGGTACTGAGTGACAAGTGTCTATTATCCACTGAGCTTCCAGAGCGTCTGACCCTTCCCGCTGTTGGATCCTCCATTCCTTAGGCATGCACGAGAACCCTGTGTCCTACAGGACAGGGCCGAAGTGGTGAGGACAAAAAAAATAAAAATCCTAACCTACAGGGTGCAATTGGCATCAACCAGGGCCTTGGCTCAGATAACGAATCCTGGGATCGGAAGGAGTATTGGGTGACTGCAGGAAGGATGTCAGCGAGTGGGAAGGGTGTGTGGTGGGCACTGTCCCAAGCCATGGCCTAAGTGATGGAGGGCAGGACCTCATCCATCATCCACTTGTCCTCTTGTCCACAGCTCTGTTGAAGATGCACTGGACACCTGAGCACGCCCAGCCCCTCAACCAGTGGCCAGAGCAGCATCTGGACGTCTCCTCCACCACCCCGTCGCCTGCCCACAAATTGGAGTTGCCCCCGGGGGGTCGCCAGCGCTGCCACTATGCTTGGGCCCACGACGACATCTCGGCGCTCACCGCCTCCAATCTCCTCAAGCGCTACGCGGAGAAGTACTCGGGGGTCCTGGACTCGCCCTACGAGCGCCCCTCCTTGGGCGGCTACGGCGACGCCGCCTTCCTCAATGGCGCTAAGGGGGATCCCGAGCCCTGGCCAGGGCCGGAGCCGCCCTACCCCTTGGCCTCACTGCACGAGGGCCTCCCTGGAGCCAAGCCCGGCGCCGGGGGAGGCTCTGCGGGGCTCGGGGGCTCCCCGATTGTAGCCGGGAACCTGTCCGACACCCTCTACGCCGGCAATGCGTGCGGGGGTCCGTCGGCGGCGCCCGAGTACACGCCGGGCTACGGCGGTGGCTACCTGGCGCCAGGCTACTGCACGCAGACGGGCGCCGCGCTGGCCCCGCCGTCACCACCGCCGCCGCCGCCGCCGCCGCCGGGGTCCGGGGCCCCCGCTCTGCTCTACAACTACACCGAGGGGGGATACGGGGCGCATCCCGGCTACGGCGCGCTCCCGCCGCCCCCGGCCGCGCCCCCGGGCCCCTACCTGCCGTCCGGCCTGGCGGCGCCCACGCCCCTGCCCGCGCCCGCGCCGCCCCGGCCCGCCCCGTACGGCTTCCCCTCGGCCGCCGACCCCGGCGCGTCGCTGAAGCGCAAGGCGACCGACGAGGGCTCCGAGGACCGCTACCGCAAGTACGCGTACGAGCCCCCCAAGGCCCACGCGGCCGACGGCGCCCCCTACCCCGCCGCGGACAACAACGGCGAGTGTCGGGGCAACGGCTTCCGCGCCAAGCCGCCGGGAGCCGCGGACGAGGCGTCGGCCAAGTTCCGCGGCAGCGTCCCGCTCAAGGTGCTGGGCTCCCCGGCCTACGGCCCGCCGCTTGAACCCTTCGAGAAGTTCCCGGAGCGGGTCCCGGCGCCGACTCCCCGAGGGGGCTTCGCGATGCCGTCGGGGGAGCCCCCCAAAGGCGTGGACCCGGGCGCGCTGGAGCTAGTGACCAGCAAGATGGTGGAGGGCGGGCCCCCCGTGCAGTGGGCAGACGTGGCCGGCCAGGGCGCGCTCAAGGCAGCGCTGGAGGAGGAGCTGGTGTGGCCCCTGCTGCGGCCTCCCGCCTACCCGGGCAGCCCGCGACCGCCGAGGACCGTGCTGTTCTTCGGGCCGCGCGGCGC